TGGACAATGAAAGCATCTGATGAGGCGGCTCTTGGAGTTTTCGAGAGAAAGATTCTGCGAAAGATTTACGGACCTGTACGCGTTGTTGATGACGAATATAACAGGCGATTTAGTGCAGCGAATTAAAATTCAGTGGCTTGGTCATGTCGTTCGAATGGGCAGAAACGCTCCTGCTCTGAGAATATTCAACGCGGGCCACGATGCTGGTAACAGAGGAAGAGGAAGGCCTCCTCTGCGTTGGAAAGACCAGGTGGAGAAGGACTTGGCTTCACTTGGCGTCAGTTAGCACAGAATAGAAATGACTGGCGTGCTGTTTTGGACTCGGCCAAAATCACTTAGGCGGTTACAGCGCCAATAAAGAAGAAGAAGATTTCGAAAAACCTACATAAAATGGTGCAGCACGTCGGAGGTTGTGTGAAAGGATATTGAATGACAGTCTTTCTAAGAGAGAAAGGCAATCAATTCCGCCTACCAAAACGTTAACGAGAAAATTACAAGAAAGATAAGCACTACGACTGTGAATAGATTTATTTATCATTGTAATAAAAACACAACAACCATGAGTTATATTTCGAGTGTTTGATACTTAATTAGTATATAACATTAAACCAAATGGGAAAATATTTAAATGACCTATTGATAGGAACGTTATTTTCTACGCAAATACATTAAAAACTTACATAACTAGAGCGTAATAATAATATAAAAAATTAAGAGTTACAAAAGCCTGGGAAAGGAAATATTTAATAAGAAGAAATTACTGAATTGATAAAAAGGTAGTGAAAAATTAGAGATGAATAAAGGAGTAACTGGCAGATGATATATGTACACACTTGAGTAATAATTCCGTAAAAAAACGCATTAGTTCCCTTCTGAAGTGCAATGTGCTTTTTACGCCCCTGATTTTCAAAGGTAAAGTATTCCATAGACGGACTGCAACACAAAAAAATGGCGCTCAGATACTTTCGAATTAAAGGTCGTATAAAGCAATTGCGATGAACGCGCTGATCGAGTTGCTTGAAATCGTTCATAGAGGTAAGAGAGATTCTGGTTTACCAATATTTTATGTAATTGTATTAGAACCTTGAGTTTCAAATAGTTATTAAAGGAGATTGAATATATTCCTATAGCATGTTCGGAGATGTGATCTCTGCACTTAATACCAAAAATGTATCGGAAAATATTATTAAATAAGACATTGATCTTTCTGTTACACGTAGTATCGCAATTAGCATACAGTTCGCAACCATAAAGCATGGTTGGAAACAAGTATGTCTTGACTAAGAGCAGTCTGATTTTAATTGGTGTAAAGTACTGGAGAATCCATAAGGAGCGCAACATTCCGTACACTTTGCCTATTACTGTAAAAATGTGGTTCTTCCATGTCAATGTTCTGTTGAAAGTCACGCCCAGGTTTTTGGCAGCATCAACGAAATTTATTACCGAATTGCCTACCATTATTTTTGAATAATTGTCTAGCTCAAAGTGTTTTTTTGTAAATTGTAATCCACTGGGGCTTGCTCGGATTCAATATTAGGCCATTATCAGTAACCCAGCCATTTACTCGACACAGATCAGCATTAAGATTACGTATTCAGGCATTAATTGATTTTAGTGGGCAATCCAGATATAATTGCACGTCATCTGCGTAAACATGCACTTTACAATGTTGTAGAATTTTCGGTAGATCGTTAACATATAAGACAAATAACAGCGGTCCAAGTATTGAGCCTTGCGGCACACCTTCAATGACGCACAAGAAGCTAGACACAGAGCTACCAACGCATACCGCTTGTGACCTCTCTTGGATATAAGATCTGACCAGGCTTACAGCTTGGGAAGAGAAATTAAAAAGATTGGTGAGTTTTAAGCAAAGTAATGTGTGGTCAACGGAATCAAAAGCCTTTGAGTGATCAAGCAAAGTTAAAAAAATGACATGATCTTTGTGCATATTCTGCCTTATATCGTCAGAGACTTTCAAAAGAGCAGTAATGTAGCTTCTGTTCGGCCGGAAGCCAGATTGATGAATACTAATAAGTGATTTTTTACTCATAAAGGTATTTATTTGGCGATGCATTATTCGCTCTAGAACCTTCGAAAGGAATGGCAAAATGGCAACTGGTCTGAAGTCACCATTTGGTTTCAAAAGAGGGATAATTTTAGCTTTCTTCCAACAGCTCGGAAAGACGGACATTGTCAATATAGTGTTGAAAGTGTAGGTAAGGTAAGGGAGAATGAATGGCAATATACACTAAAATGAATTTAGGATGGATTCCGTCGAGACCAACGGCGTTGGATTTTACAGAAAGTATGGACTCAACAACATCACATTCACCCAGAGGAACATTATAACCATCATAACATATATTACTGCGAGGACGAGACAAATTAACAAACTTTGCATTTACTTCATCAACATTTACAGATTCAGTTGAGACAGAGATTTTACTGTCGATGCCAATTTCACGAATACGCTTCCATGTCTGCTTTGAGCTTACTGCAGTTCTGAATTGGTGCTCAAAATATTTCATCTTTTAGCATTTTATGGCCTTCGTAACTCTTCTTCTTATAGACTTGTACCCATTATGGGCTGTGTCGGACTTCAATTTCTTCCAGGTTTGATACGCACTATTCCTATCATCAATCAATTTTCTTATATAGGTGTTATACCATGGACGACTACCATGCCTGCTTGGTTTTGTAATTAGAGGGACACATGTCTCGAATAGTGTGTTAATATTTGTCTGAATGAAATTAATGCTTGGTTTTCATTAGGTCAAAATCACTGACATCAAAAACTGCCTTCATCTGACAGCTGTTCATTTGGTGTCAAATGCGTTTTCATTACATTTAAAAAACTGACCAAATGTCGATACCGCAGTGCATGTCAAATACTATCGTCAAATTTCGGGGTCAGATGATTGACATTCCGTTTTCATTAAAGGTGCCAAATCCGAAGATGACATTTGATCAGCTGATAAGAGGAAAATTAATGAAGTGTGAAATACGAAATTAATAAACATATTAAAAGAAAAGGCAAATTACACATAAATAATGAATAGGAAAAAGACCATCGCAATAGCTTGTGCGGCACTTTGCTTGGTAACTACCTTAAAAGCTTGGAAAGAGAAAAGGAGGCAACTGAGGAAGGTAAAGAAGTGGTGGATCAGACCAGGTCTGAGAAATAGAGACCGCTGTGGGTTTTATACTACGCTGCGTTCCAAGCTAGAAATTCAGGACCCAAAGTGGCTGAAAAATTTCCTCAGAATGAAGGTAGAAGATTTTGACTATCTTGTGGAGCGCCTCACGCCATACATCTGCAAAAAAACAACGAGTTTTAGAAAGCCAATATCTGTCGGAGAAAGACTAGCAGTGACTTTGCGTTACTTGGCAACCGGGGATAGTTTTTCCAGCTTGATGACAGTTTTTCTATTGGGGAAAACAACCATTTGCCACATTATACACGAAACTTGTGCTGCACTTTATGCGATCTTAAAAGACGAGTTCCTAAAGGTTAGTTTTAGTAGATATAATCAATTTATTTTAATCCGAAAAATAATTTAAACAAGTGCAGAGAAGTGAATTCTCACCCCGGAAAAAATAAAGTGGGCGTGCCCCGCCCCTTTTTCCTGATTTCAAGGGTATATAACATTTCTCGTACAAATTAACATCTAGAGATTAGTGGCCCACTTAAATAAAAAATGTTACATTACATATATTTCATAAAGATTCCGAGCACTACGGAAGAATGGGTAACAGTCGCTGACCGTTTTGAGCAAAGGTGGAATTTCCCCAATTGCTGCGGAGCACTTGACGGAAAGCACATAGCCATTCAAGCGCCTGCACACTGTGGATCAGAATATTTTAATTATAAGAAGTTTAACAGTATTGTCCTGATGGCTATGGTAGATGCTGACTACAAATTTTTGTTTGTGGAAGTCGGAGCGTATGGTCGAGAATCTGATGGCGGAGTTTTCGCAAGGTAAGATCTCTTCAATATGTTGCTAAATAATCCTAACATTTCCACTTTTTATTTGAAACGATTTCTTTTCATTTCAGATGCCCACTTTCGGCAGCTCTTGCTGATAATAGCATTAATTTTCCGACTCCGAGGCCACTTCCACATGAAGCGGACCCTATGCCATTTGTAATAGTGGCTGATGACGCTTTTCCTTTGAAAACTTACTTACTGAAACCATTCAGTTATCGCGAGCAAGTTATGTCATATAAAATATTCAATTACAGGCTATCACGAGCAAGAAATGTAGTAGAAAATGTGTTCGGCATATGTGCATCGCGTTTCCGAATTCTCAGACGGCCAATGGACGTAAAACCGGATTATGCAAAAGCTATTGTCCTCGCGATTTGTGTCCTGCATAATTATCTCTTAACACGCAAATCAGTATACATGCGGAGATCTGACGTCGACGATGATACAAATGGCGTTGCTGTGCGAGGTAATTGGCGAACGGAGTTGGGGGAAAACGGAATGCTTCCATCAATTAGCCCCAGCAGCATTTTAGGTAGGCCAGCAGACAACGCAATAAATGTGCGTGAAAATTTTATGGAGTACTTCTTAACACCCCACGGTGAAGTTGGATGGCAATACAATAGGACGATACTGCATAACTCATTTTTGTAGTTTACCCACTTAGAATAACAAACAAATCACATGATATCTAAAAAACAGCAACAAGTTAACAGCAAAAATTAAAACATAAAAATTAATAATGCTTTTAGGCATCGTACGGACAAAATGTTGACCCCAAATGGAAAAAAGGTCTATTAATGAAATTCAATATAAAAACTGACTCACATATTAAAATACATACATTTTAAATCCAGTGTGTATTTATTATGCAATTTAATAGTAACAGCATATACATATATATGTACATACACTGTCAATCAAAAGTGAGTGCATGGTGTTTTTTGTTTAATATTTGCAATGTTTTTGAAGTTAAAATTTTTTTTGTTATTTTTTATAAAAACATGGTTCATGCTTTAATCAAAACCACGTTAGTCAAACTTTCAAACTTAATACAGAACTTAGAAAAA